CTATAATGCTAGCTGAAATTTAATGTTTTTATTTAATTCTGCCATAAAACTAATAAATTACTCAAGTTTCTTAGGTTGTGAGAAACAGCATTGATGTCTGAATTTTAGACTCAGTGAAAATTGATTATGATCTATGGAAGGTAAATCAGAGATACAAACTGCCCTCAAAAAATGCATTAATCTAACAAGGGATACTATTCCAGACATTCACTACAACTACCTCTTCATTAAAACAGATTTCATGAGAAACTAGAAATTTTTTTGAGGACATGTTTCCTCTTAAATATTGGAGGGTGACTTATGGTAGTAAGCAATTGAAAAGTCTTTCTCATTTCATTTCAACAGTTAATTTTAAACCAAAAGACAGAAGAAATATAAATGTAAAAAAAAAAAACAAACAAAAAACCAAAACAAAACAAAAACCACAAAAACAACAAAACCCAAAAAACCCGACAGCCTTGCAGATACTTGTAAGCACTGCTCAAACTCTTGGTAGTAATGATTTCATGTGTTCAATGTTGATTTGTGATTCTTGTCATGATCACATTGTTAAGTACTTTTACCTAATTAGGTTACTTTTTGAATAATGCTAATTTGTCAACTTCTGTTCTGATTTTGTCCTGAAACTTTGCCTGTATCTCTACAACTGTGCTTGACACAAGAATACCTTTCTGTAGTGCAAGGAGTTGGTAGAGCTTCAAGAAGGAAAGTGGACTGGAAAGTGTAGACAGGAATACTGGCAAATGAGTTAATGAAATGCTTCAGGATTTTTTGCATAGTAATGGCTTGAATTGACATATGGACATGATTCTTGGAGTCTGCTGTCGACCCAAGAAAATTTACATTAACAAAGTGGAGGAAAAAAAAGTGGGGAAAAAACCAGACAACTGCATGATGATGATAAATCTCGGCAGGCAGAAATCAAGTTTCCACACTTCTGAGGACAAACATGAGTGAGGCAATCAAAAGGCAAGCAGCTTAGCAGTGTGTACCCTCTATTATTGTCACGTGTGCTGGCAGGAAACAAAACTAGCTGGCCAAGTCCTGCATACTTAGTAAGTCAGGACTGGCATAATGACATTAAAGACAATATTATTTTTTCTTGTTTACACTTTTATATTGACACAGGTCCTTATGTAGATTTAAACCAACAAGTGTTATTTTGCTGATAATAGCATATTTAGTTTTGGTAATTGCAGCTTTAAACTATTGCACTTTTTCCACATGTAAACTGTATTTCTATTGAAAATTTCCTGATCCAAATACACTGGTAAACCTTTTATTTCAACTTGGGAACACATTCGTAGTTTGTAGCTAAGTACAAAAATGAACTTGAGTTGTGCTAGATTCTTATGTGATACTAGGGACTGAGATGTGAAATATAGATTGAATGTGGTAGTCTTTACTAGTAGACTTATAGCTAGCAACTGTAAATTAATTTATTCATTGTTCTAGTCAGCTTCTGATAATTCTTTTTTAATCTTTATGGCTCAATGCAAAATTGGACACCCTGTATAAGTCATGGGGTTAAGAGCTATCAATGGCATGAAATTAATTATGAAATTAATTAATGGAATTTGCTCTTTATGAAAAGCAAATGATGGATTCTGCAACTAGGACAGAGCTGCAGAAAGGGATCTGGGGCTGCTGGCCAGCAGCAGGCTCAATAGGAGCCCGCAGAGTGCCCTGGCAGCCCAGAAGGCAAACCCCATCCCGGGGTGCATCAAACACGGCATAGCCAGCCGGTCAACAGAGGTGATTATCCCGCTGGATTCGGCGTTGGTGCGGCCTCACCTTGAATATAGTATGCAGTTCTGGGTCCCACAATTTACGAAGGATGTGGAGGTCCCTGAATGCTTCTAGAGGATGGCAACAGAGCTGGTGAAAGGGCTGTAAGGCATGTCCTGGGGAGTGGGTAAGGGCTTTGGGTTTGTCTAGTTTGGAGAGAAGAGGCTGAGGGACAACCTCATTGTTCTCGGCAGCTTCCTGAGGAGGGGAAGTGGAGAGGGAGGTGCTGAGCTCTTCTCCCTGGGATCCAGTGACAGGACACGTGGGAATGGCTCAAAGCTGCATCAGGGGAGGTTCAGACTTGGCATGAGGACACATTTCTTTACTGAGAGGGTGGTCAAACGCTGGAACAGGCTTCCTGAAGAGGTGCTTAATGCCCTATGCCTGTCTGTGTTTAAGAGGCATTAGGACAATACCCTTAATAATGTGCTTTAACTTTTGATCAGCCCTGGTCAGGCAGTTGGACTAGATGATTGTTGTATGTCCCTTCCAACTGAAAATATTCTATTCTATTCAGAAATAAATATTTTTAAGTGCAAGATGCCAGACGCATGGTAATTACATTTCAGAGGACTTCCTGTTGGCTTGCAGCTTATTCTGTGAATACTGGTAAATATTTCCTAGGACTTTCTGAAGTGAGTTAAGTTCAGGGTGTTAACCACTTTGTACCCTTCCTCTATAGCTTAATAAACTGATGTATTAAAACAAAACAATCTGTAATCTGAACACTACTCTTCCTACATCATAATATATTCTTATGCCAGCTGCTTTGTCATTTAGCTCTGTGCTTCTTCAGGTTGGTTTATTAAGTTTTTCAAGAATGTTTAAGAAGACTATTTCAGTTTAAGTTTACTTTTATTGCTACAATACAAAAATATGCTGAAATAGTTTACTCTTATGATATATATCTATGCAGGAAAAGGATAGGATAGTTTTAGTTAATTGTTCGTGTTAGTTGTGTGCTAGCATGATATTGTCTCTTGCAGAAGAAATTCCTGGTAAAAAGCTGTAAATTTGTGGTTTGCTACGTGTGGATCTTTAAATATCAGTAAAATATTTCTTTAATTTGTTGAAAAGTAACTGAGCATTGAAAAAGATTAAGCGGTTATGTGATCTCAGTTCTTTGAGTGAAAGATTCCTTTAAAAAACCCACGTACTGAAACAGGCAGAGATCACATCAAATTTTGATTTAAAACAGCAGAAAAGGAAAATAAATTCAGCTCATTTATCATTTTCTGATTTTAGTCTTCATAAAACTATTGTGTAATTGTAATTTACTGTCCATTTTTTTGTATTAAGCTGTTTCCTTGTCTCTAAAGAAAGTATGTTTTAAGTTTAGATTTTAACACCTCATATTAACTGTTTTGACAAAAAATATTTTTCCTCTTTAAGATAGATTAGATTAGACTCTAGTGTTCTGTCTATATAAACTTATATCTATGGCAATTCTTCTAGATGCTAAATATCTGTTAAAAAAAAAAAGGATATTGAGCTAGCACTTTTAATCTGGAGTGTTACAACTTTATTTCCTCATTTGGAAAGTAAAAAAGGGGGGTTTTTGGAAATTTGTGGTAATTTTGTTTTTTTCTGAATATTTCATTAAAATTTGACCTTTACAAAGTGAGACTGCAACCTGAAACCAGTGCAACCAAAGTAAGAGTGTGGCAGTGTCTAGTCATTATTCCTAATTAAAAGATTCTTTATTTGAAATATAATTTTCAATTTTATGTGAACGGGAAAAGAATATGCATATTGTCAAATTACACTAGCTCTGTATTTCTACCTAAGATGAATGTCATTTATTTTGATCCTTTAAGTATAATATATACTTTCCGATTCAATATTCAGACTCTATTCAATAATAAAGTAGCTTTCTTTTATTAGATTGAAAAGTTATTTTTTTAATACTAAAATTTTCTGCGTTTATGTAACTGCCTTGAAACAATACTATCCCATTCCAGAACAGCCTAATCCTGTGTCGTCTTATAAGTAGATTGACACTGTGCTAGAATGGCATTTCCTCTGCAGAACAGAACTGATAAATCAGAGTGAAATCACTAGGATCATATTATCTGGAGTACAATCCTCACATTATGTGGAAGCTCTAACAAAATCTTAAAATGTGGATGCATGGGACCAGATCGTTATGTCACTTGCATTCTTCAGTAGTTACTCTATTGTATAGGAAACTCCCTTAAACTTAACTGTTGAGTCCGTTTACAAGCACTTGAATGAAAATGCTCATACATGAGAAGTGGTGGTATGAAGAGTTAGAAATACGCCACTTGTGTGATAAGTAGACAGAGTTATCTGCTTCTTTTTTCCAGTTATAGTTACAAAAAGGGCATATCCCTTCCAAGTTCTGGGAAGAAAGATGCATGTACTTTTTCAGGCAAGGATTTAGGAAGAGGTTAAAGAATTTCATGGAAGGCTCTGCGCTGTGAGGTCTGAATATGTGACTGAAGTTGGATTTTCCTTTCCTCTTCATCTTGCTGATATCTTTTCTAATGAGGGATGCATCTGCAACATGCTTCTTTTCTCAGTCATTGCTGTCAAACCGCTCATTCATAAATGATACTGAGCATGTGTTGCAGGGCTTACTGCTGCTTTGTTTGCCCCCGTTTTATTTCTTTACCCTCAAGATCTGTGGGATACCATTAGTGTCTCTTAATTTTCTCCTCAAGCTGTAGGTGTAAGATGCTGCTAGTAAGGATTTTTGTTTGGTTGTTTTACATAAAGTAGGTGATGGGGTGCTTTCTGACTTGAAAGAAGAGATAAGACATTGAGGGAAGGATTAGAGGGTGTTGAGGGCATGTGTGTTGGGAATAGGGCTTGGGCTGAGAAGATGATCTGTTAGTAGATGCTACAGTCCTCCCAGTGGAAGTTATCAAGGAAGATCAATTTGCAGATATGTACATCTTCAACTGCTTAATTTGTGCTTAAATTAAAAAACAAAAAGCACACTTTTAAAAATCTGTGTATTTTGCTGATCAAAGTAAAAGCCTAATATTCCATGTATTTATAGGTTTAGGAAATAAAACATGTAAACATGTAAACTTTGTAAAAAGAAACTCCTGGAGAGTCTAGCAGTTTAAACTGTTAGCAGCATGTAAAGGTCAGCATTTTAAGAAAATACTTAACTTTTTGTAGAAAGAGGGCAGGTCTCTGAGACTGTCAAAAGCAACTTGAATTTCCTGTTTTCTTTTTCTTAGGTTGGCTGAAGACTTTTGATGATTACTTCAGAGATCAGACACAGCATATATTAAATAATATGGTTATAAAACTGCAGGAAGACAACCGAAGGAAATTTATATGGTCTGAGATTTCTTACTTTTCAAAATGGTGGGATGGAATAGATAGCCAGAAAAAGGATGCCGTTAAAAGGTTTGAACACTGAACTATTTCTTATCTTCCATGTGGCATGTTCTGAGACTTTGTATTTAACTACACTGTAAACTTGAGATTTCACTTGTTGCAATGGAGAATTGCTAGAATAATTGACTACTCAAGGTCTGATATTTTTGGACTTAGTTCATTTTTTTTCCAGTTACAAAATAAAAATCCATTTAGAGAAGTGAAGCCGAATTCCGAAGTTGCTGAAAAAATTGGCTAAAAGTTTCCATGTACAACTACAAAGATGTCGTTCAAATTGTAATGAAGTTGTGATTATAAACTTTATTTGAAGTCACGCTGAAGTATTGACAATGGAATAAAAGTGATGTTTCATATTAGCTATTTATATATGGTAATTTTTCTTCAGTTATAACACAATTATGAAATGAGAAATTTTTTTTGGTTTTAAATATGGTATTTTTTTATAAACATGCAGCTGCTTAAATGGTAAAGTAGTGTATACTCTACACGCTTGCTGCTGTTAGTCCTTTTTAAAATCACTGTAAAAATGTAATACAGAAGTAAAAGGTTTGCTTAGACATTAGAGACAAGAAAGTGTGCTGCTTGGATAAACTTGAAGTAAGGATCTAGTTTGGAGTTTTCAAAAAGGGTTTATTTTTTGGGTTTGGTTTGGTTTAGGGTTTTGTGTGTGGTTTTGCTTTTGTGTTGTGTTTTTTTTTTTTTTTTTTAACTTTGCTTTAAGACAGGATCCAACAGTTCTTAGCTTATCTCTGTAATGCCCTCCTTGTACCCTCCTTCAAGATGCATGGATTGCAGTATACATTAAAGCTATGAAAGTCTCACAGCCACAAAGGTTAGGTAATGCTGTAAGTCTTGGGAATGGCATAGAAAACTATCTATTTAAAAATTTATGAACAATGCATGAGTATTATAGCACAGCTATTGTTTCTGGAGATTAAAAAGATCCCTTGGAACACAATAAACAGTAAATGATAGTCACTAGGGAACTGTGTCTTTTCTTCAGAGGACTCAGGTGTTGGAACTGCTATAAGAGTTACAGAAGCTGCACTGGAGATTATTTTTGCTGTATGTTTTTCATTACTCTTATGGGTATTATCTATAACGTGACTAAATTTTGATAAATGTACTGTATTTCTTTCTTGAATTCATTAAACATTTATTTGCTAGTGTACAATATAGGCGCTGAAATCACATTATTTAACTGTAGGGACCACCTGATGCTGGAAGCATGATCATTATGTTCACTGACATCTTAACAGAGAGACTGGCTCATCCTGTGATCTCTTTCAAGAAGGCATTTTAATGAGTGACATACTCTGAAACCTTTATGGATACAGTGAATTTCAAAGCTCTATTGGCTCTGTAAAACAATAAGAATGGTAGATCAAAGATGGGGAGATATTAGTAGTGCTTGAAATGTGCAATGTCTTGGCATCTGGCTCAACTGGCCTTCAGTACTGTGGCACACAACACTTATTTTTGTAAGCTATACAGGGAGTAACCTTCCTTCTGATTTAAAAGAAATCAAATATTATGGCATATGCAGTAGAGCTGGTAGTTTTCATTGCACAGAGGGATTAAAAATTTCGCTGTTCGTCTATTCATTCTTTCCCTGTTTGATTAAAGAAGTCTAGTCCAGTGATGGAAGTAGCACAAGCAATTCAGATTTTGACACTGTGTCCCTGATAAATACCTATTGGGTATTCGGAAATTGATTTTTAAGAATGTTGTATCATATGCAAGATTCTGAATGCAATTTATGTATTTTTCAGGTTAATAAAAGGTGGACAATTTGAAATAGTAACAGGAGGATGGGTCATGCCTGATGAAGCTTCTGCTCATTATTTTGCTTTAATTGACCAACTGATAGAAGGACATCAATGGCTAGAAAAGAACCTCGGTATGTAGCTCAATCTAAAATTTAACTGTGTTAATACAGGAAGTCAATTAGAAAATCCCTTTTTCTATTTCTGAGGTGCTTAGAAGGCTCTCTTTACTCTGCTTTTCCTGAAAAAGCAGAGTAAATTTCCTAAATCAGTCCGCTTACTGGAAGCTATAGGATTGAGTCTAGTAGTTGCAATTACTGCTGGCAGATAGAAGTTCCCAAAGTGTGTTTAAACAATTTAATGTCACAACATTTTGTTTTGATGAATCAAAGATGTGCATAGTGTATTAGCATAGTAAAATATAACAGTAAATGATGCTAAATTGTAGATCACATGTCTCAGGTATCACAAACAGTTTCCGATTGCTATTTATGTCTTTTGAAAATCATGACAAAGGCCTTAAAATGACTTAAAAATTGATACTCCTTTCATGTCTTTGGATCTACTCTGCAGGCTATGTGTTCATTAGGTTCTCTTATGTAAAGCTTTCAGAACGTAAATATGAAATTTAGTAGTAATTGTTGTAGCAATAGTAGTAGTTACAAAACCTAAACCCATTGTAATGTTAAAACTGTTCATATTTAAAAAGAAAAAAAAAAAAGGTTAACTCATTTGCTTTTGAAACTTTGAGGAACTGCTGACTGCAATAACATTGGCTGAACCGTTTGGTGGCTTTGGGAGGATTTTTTTTATCGCTGCAAGTAGAGATAACTTTTTATATAGAAAATATTTGTACAGTAATTTCATTAATAAGTTAACATTACTTCATCCAATGAACTGAAATTATTTTGAAAAGCTGTTTCACTATGTTTTTCTTAGATTGCAATTTCCATAAACACAGCTTGACATAATTAAAAGAGGAGGGGAGGGGAGGGAAGGCCTAATAAAAGGGTAATGCGTTCCCTACTGTTTGGTTTTTTTTCGGTAAGACAGTGAAAATGTGTCTATGGAACCATGATGAAACAAGAGCTAGATATCGCTTCCTTATTTGCTAGTATGAAGCTCACTGAAAAGACTGTTAATCAACATGATCGTAATGATTGCCAACCAAAAAAATTTTAAAAAAAGTTAGTTCCAAAGCCGAAAAAGGCTGACGTTATTTAAATTACAGTGAAAAATCAACAAGCTACAACATCAATCTATCTCCGTCCATTCGTTTTCTTTCAGTTTTCCTTTCCAATTGTAACATCTCGAAACTGTTTAAACTAAAAAAGGAGATGTATTTAATTACGATTCCATGTAAAGATGTTTGAGACACAACTGAAATAGTGTAACAAACTAAGAGTACTAATCTCAGGTTTTTTATGTAGTTAGGCAGAATACCTTGTCTCTGAGACATGATACTTCCTTTTTTGGTTAATTGTTTATCTGTTTAATTCTAGCTTGTTCACTCCAGGGTGTGTTCTGCAGGAGGCTTAATATTTTAACTTCTTGGCAATTTTATCTTTAGTACTCTGATTTGAATTATATTGGTATAGCTTTCTTTGAGTGAAAAGTAACTTTCTTCCCTTTTTATTGTTTTCTTTTGTCAACAGGAGTAAAACCAAAGTCTGGTTGGGCAGTTGATCCTTTTGGGCATTCACCAACAATGGCCTACCTTCTGAAACGCACAGGATTTTCCAGTATGCTTATACAGAGAGTTCATTACTCAGTTAAAAAACATTTTGCAACACAGAAGACCCTAGAATTTTTTTGGAGGCAGAGCTGGGGTATGTGTTTTTTCTTTATGTCAACTTATTTTGTTAATTCACACAGGTAAAGTGTGGAGAGAACTTTGATAAATACTATGGAAATCTTTACAGAACAGGTTATTCAGATAAGTTAGTCTAGACTTGAAAATTTTAAACTTGCAGTTCTGTTAGATAAAAGGGTTGGTTTGTGGTGGTTTTTTTTTAACTTTCAGTTTTTGTTTTGGTTTTCTTTTTTGATTACAGAAAGGGAATGTGAATACCTATGTGTTAGGAAAGGTGAAAACTGTATTAATGCCATTGTTGCTCTGATCTTGCTGTTTCTTCACTTTTACTTGTGCTTTTACTTTCTCTTACTTCCCTTCTCCCGCATTCCTTACGAGAATATATAAAGAAAGTATATGGGGTGGAATATTCTCTTTTCTTTTCTCACTTCTTTGTTTCCTTCGTCCTAATCCTACTATGTGGAAATAAAGTGGAGGAGAAGGAATATTTCTTTTGGAGAGAGAAAAAAAAAAGGTCAAAAGTGAATATTTGAAGATGGAGAGACCTGTCTTGCTTATGTTCTTATTAAGGAAAGCTTTTGAGCAACCAGTTTCTCTCGGCTGGTATGACAAATTAGTGTCATTAGTTAAAGCAGCTTTTTGTGGACATGAAATTTGGAGGTTATCTTTAGTCAGAAAAGTAGATTTAAAACATTTCACCATTTTAATATGCAATGAAATTCTCATCTAACACCTTATTCTTAGAGTAAATATAATTGCTTTTTGATATTATTTATACAATACGGTGTGTGAAAGTTTTCTTAGGTAATATAGTGGTTATACCTTAGCAAACTGATGTGTCTGTAAATGAATGTGCTTTTCTATGTGAATATTTTTGTTTTGCTTTGTACTGTACCAGCATTCCAACAAGCTGTATGATGAATGTATGTAGTTGAGGTTTTGATCTTTCTGTTTTTGAAAGTAAGCAATTATGTCACTGCTTTATCAATACAGTGTCAAACAAACTTATTTAGTACTTACTATTGAAAGGTAGTTGTGATTTTGAAGCTTTTTAGTTCCTCTTTGTTTTTAATCAGAAATTGTAGGAAGGAGGGTATTCAGAGAAAACAATCTGCTGCACAAGTAAACTTGATGCGAGGAAAACATACCACTGTGAAAGAATTTCTCAGATACTGACAATTCAGAGGTTTTTCTTTGAACATTGGTGTATGCTACTCACTGTACAGAATACTTAAGTGACAGGCCTTTTTCCTAAATAGTTGCATATGTAAATCACATGTATGATATGGTCTAGTGTTTGGGCTTCAGAAGAAGGCTTTTCAAAACAGATCAGTCATCAAAGACCACTGCACACTCATCTGGCATAATACATAGATGTGGTACCTGAGAGAAAGAACTACTGTAGTTGAAAAGTAAATGCATATATTTATGGTTTTAGTAATAAGTAAGTAGTAGTAAAATAGGAGTCTTTAAAGAAAAGGACTGGATTGGAACTGTGAAGAATTACTCCATTAAGGTTTTGAAGGCTATTTTGATATATGTTGTTGACATACTTAGGAGCCAGGTTCTGTGGCACATCTACAGCATTCATTCCTTTTTTTTCAACATAAAATTACTTGAAGTCGTTAGTGCTGGAAATAGTTAATTAGCATTTAGGGATTTTACCAGATGAGTAAACTTGCAGTTCTCTTAAACTCTATAAGAACTTCAGGTTCTCTTTAAAGTTAAATTTTGAAAACCCTTCCTTTGAGACTTGACAAAACGTGTGTAGATCTCTGCTCCTGGTGGATTAAACTTTAGGGAATGGACTGACTAGATGGAAAAGTTAGGATTGCAAAGATGGTCTGAGAAGAGCGCAGAATTCTATGTAATCCTATGTACGAGCACACAGAATCTATCTACAAGTACATAGAATCATAGTGTTAATGTATTGTAGTTATGTGTTCAAGAAATTAAGACATTGCTAAAGCCAACTGATTCAAATGTTATGCTAATTGGGTAATGACAGCAGGGTGGTTGGGTTTTGGTTTGGTTTTTGGGCGTTTTTGTTTGGTTTCGGTTTTGATTCACTCAAAATATAAAAGATGTGTTTTCTTCACCTCAAAAATTTGGAAATTGAGAATTATTTGAGTAAAAAAACCACTAACATTTTGTTCCTATCTTTCCTAATCAGCTGGTGCTTGATTGGAATGTTCCAATCTTGGTTGTATCTCTGGCTTTAGCCTCTTTATATGTAAGGTACATACAAATGTAGACTCCAGATATGGAAATTCAAAGCAAGGAATTGTCTTGATTTGATGTTTTAAATACAATTCTTGGATTAAGAACATGGAACTGATTTAGTTTGAGCAACTCTGAGAGGGTTTATTTTAAAGGTATGTTCTATGTATTTAATTCCAGATTTGGGATCCAGTACAGATATCCTTTGTCATATGATGCCTTTCTATAGCTATGATATTCCTCATACTTGTGGTCCAGATCCGAAAATCTGCTGCCAGTTTGATTTCAAACGTCTTCCTGGAGGAAGAGTAAGCTGTCCATGGAGAGTTCCACCAGAAGCCATTCATCCTGGAAATGTTCAGCACAGGTACAGTTCTTACATATCCTGCAAAGGAATAACTTTAAAATAAAAAATTATGCTGGTCAAAGATGATATCTAACATAGCTTGGTGAATTTATACAGTTCTTAAAATAAACTTGTCGTAGGAAATCCTAAAACCTATTACTTAACCTAGTGTTCGCTCATAAGTTTAGAATACAGTTGACAGTGAAATTTGAAGATAGGCTATAATTAAGGAAGATGCATCGAATTTTTTTTTTTCATTCATGATACATGAGTCTGTATTACTGTCTCAAATGCTGGGCAGAACATTGTCATCGGTTTGGTTATAGTCATGTTACTGGTTGACTGTAGTTTTTGTAAATTTTATGAATAGACAGTGATCTGTCTCTGGCCAGTGGAAGACTTAGGGACAGCATGATGTAGTATGCTATAACTGCACACAGCGAGATATTTTGCATGGTATATCCTTGCAAAACTTGACAATCTGTGGAGTAGGTTCCTGAAATGGATACTTTAAGTGAATCTACTCATATTTTATGAAAACAAAGTTGGAACATTGTAGGCAACCAAAAACTTCTCTGATCTGATCTCTGTAACAACACAAATTTTACAGTTGTTACAATATGGAGATGTCTGAGATCCAGAAGTAATTGGAAAATCTATCTTTACATCCTAAGCTTTCCAAGGTTAGAAGTTTGTAGCACAGTAATTAATCTGTGTGTCATATCTGATTGCTTTCTTTTTTAAGAATGGAAAAATACAGGAGATCTACACTACATGGATCTGAAAAAAGTATTTGATACATACTTGATTAATGTCAAGGCAAGGTTTAGATCATTGACCTTTCTTCAGTGCTAAACCTGCAACAAAATTAATGAAACGCAGATCTTGAATACTCAGCTGGGACTGTTGCTTTTGATTTCAGTAGTATTATGGCCATACATACATACTGAAGGGGTATTGAATTGAAAACTTAAGACTAGTAGCTGTTGGATTTATCATTGCCTTGCCAGTTAAGTTGTGATTTGGTAGGAAGGAATGAAACAGCAGCCTGATTGAAAGCCTGTACTTGTTTAGTTACACTTCTTAACAGCTTAGGTTATAAAGATTGCTGTTGCACTTGCCCCAATTTGCAGCTGCATCGTCATCCGTATGTTTGAATGCTGAAGTTCTAGCTTTTCACACTAAGTAAGAAAAACAGCTGTTGTGTGTTTTCCCTTGAATGGGAATGAGTTATTTTGTTAGAGGAAGCATAGCTTGGCTTGGTGTATATCTGTTTCTCCCATGCATGGAAATAGGAAAGAATCTGTACTGCAAGTTATATACTTTAGAGAGGGAGTAGAAAATGAACTTTGCCCTTCACTCCCTGCTGTTCCAAGAGCCCAATTTTACCTTTCAGCTTTTTCCTCTTTATGGTTGGTCACATTGCACAACATGCAACTGGTGTTCAGAATTACATTGCTGATGTGGCATTGGTGGTTAATGTTTGTGATTGCTAACCTCAAGAATCTGAGATCACCCTCTTAGGAAGTACTCATCTTGTCTACATAGCCATCTCCTCCACATAATAAACTGAGTAGAAAATTGCCAATTCACTAAATGGTTTTGATTTCTAGTTGAGATAATTGGGCAAAGAGTGAGTCCCGAATGCTTCCTGTGCTGTATGGGCTGAAGTAGTAGGGACTATGAAGCCATGACTGCTGTCAAACCTGTCACATAGGACTTGCTATAGCTGCTGCAAAATTTCTTGTGATTCCCACTGACTCTGGGTGGCTACTGCGCATCCTCCTATGATATAGGAAAGGGCAAACCCAGCCACGTTAATTATTTTGATATGTTTTATCCAAATACTTGGAATTTTTGTGTTAAAAGAACACAGTTGTGTTATGAGGAGGTCTTCTTCATTTGTGAAAGGTCTTAAGCATTCAATGATAATGTGAAAGCTTCCTGCAGAAAGGTGAAAAATATTCTTGATTCTGTTACTTACAATGTTGATATACTTCAGTGTTGCTGACTAAGAGTACAGTTAGGGTTGCTCTGAATATTTAGAACTACGTAATGCGTCTTGTGTACAGTTCCAGGAACTTTTGATTGTATAAACCAAAAAATTTGTTAATTTTTTAAAAGCCATTAAAATGATGTTGCTGATGATATGCTATATCCATAATTACAGTGCTACAAAAAGTTTATCATGACTGATCTCTTTGGTTTTCAAATTTTCATTCAGGTAGGCAGGATAAACATGTATCAAAATGTATCTAATCCTGTCTTGCTGGGGAACCAGAAAGGGAAAGCATTGGTGAGACTCAGTGAAATTTGAATTTTTTTTTTTTTTTTTTTTAAATCCAGAAGTGTTTTTCATCTTCAGCAAATTCTGTCTGGGGCTTTCTGCTAACTCTTTTTGATTCCTGTATGAAATAGTGATTTAGGAAGTTATTTGAGAGAAACTTAAGAGGATATACCTGACTTGAGACATTTAAATTTTCTTTAGTGTTCTTGCAATTGAAACTGGTTTACAGTGGAGGAAGATCCTGCTGCCCCCTTAAAAGCACCTAATAATCCTACAGTTATGAGTACTTTGAAGAAAGGGAAAGCAGCAACACTGATGAATTTTGCAGTAGATTAGGAAAGAAACTAGAGGAGGACTTTGACCTCTCTATCCAAAGTCAAATATCCTGTTAACTGTAACTTTCCCTGAAGTCCTGTATTTTTGGGGAGACTCTAAAATAAAGCATTTTTCCAACTGTAGGCTGTGTCTGGAAAATTTGAGTTAGGCTGGCTCCTTAGAAGGTAGAATTACAAAGTCTTGTCTTGTGCCAATTTTTCTGTCAGTTGTGTGGAGAGGAAGTATTTATGTTTAAATTGGCAACCTGTTGAAAGTCATGGAAAACATTGAATCAATCATAAATACTTGGTAATCTGAACTATAAATCAAACTATAGACAGAGAAGGGGGGAAGCCACTAGTTGGGTCTATTCCAGTCTCTGCAGAACTATGTAAAGATGTTGTTGTGCCCCTGTTCTCCTTCCAGAATACAGTCAGACCTTGTCTTTACTCAATACTTTTATAATCTGATAAATGGATAAACCCTGACCTGCTGGTCAAAGAAATATGGATTTCAAATATATTGGATAGATTCAATTCTCACATAAATGTTTATATAACAAATTGTCAACAGTATGAATTGAAAGTAGATTTCAGTAGGCCTTCTGTTAAAAAGACTTGTAGAAACAAAAAGCTCACTGGAATCTAGATTTTGCTGCTATTTTCTCTTTAAAACTTTGTCATTTGTATTCCTGTTTTCACAAATACGTTACTATGGTTTATACTCCCTACTAAGGTTATTTCTGTAACTTGAATTAGAGAGGATCAGCACATGAAGATTTTGGTGGTGGTTGTGGTCAGGGAGGCCAGAAATGGACCTTTTCAGTAACCCAGACATCAGACTTGTAACTTTTAATACATTGTGGCTTAATGACAGAACTGATGTTTTACCTGTCAAAGAGTTAATAGGTGCTAAATGATAATTTTACAGCTGTGTATGTGTGCATGTGTGGGTATTTTGATTGTTTTGTTTTTGGTTTTTTTTTACGACCAAAACCAAAAAAGCAGTGGGTTTAATTTTTCAGGACATATGCTTAAAGCTTAAGAGGGCTGGCTCGGAGACAGGTAAGAAGCTAGCTGAAAGGGAAACGGTGATTGTTGGTAGTGAGCTTCCTCCAGAATTTTTTTTTTTGCAAGACTGGAGTTCCTCGAAGATTTCTTTATGGGCAGTTTTTCTGTCAAGGACATGAAGATACGAAGCAAAGTATCCGAAGGAATTACCAGAGGGGATGAGAAGAGCTTGCTTATTGTAAATAAGGACTGGAGAGGATTAGGATTGTTATCTAAATATAAAGCAGGTAAACATAATTTAAACTGAAGGTTAGTTTTGGCACATGAATAAATTGATGCAGGCTGCCCTACTGTTTGAGATGGAGCTTGATAAGCTTATTGGAGGATTTAATTAGCATAGTGTTTGCAACAATAGTAGGTTGAATGTGGTGTCCCAGTGGGGGGAATTGCATCCAGCTTTTTGTTACAAAATGAGATAGCAGAGTTTTATATGTGTTGTTTAGGGTCACCCTAGTGCACAACTTGATATCTAAGAATGATTTCATTAAATGCTGACTTTTATTCTTCTGTTTTGTTT